AATTGGAAACCACCCCCCTCCGCCCCAACAGCACCAGCACCAAGCCCAACACCAGCACCACCAGCACCAGCACATCAATCAGCCGCCGCCCAATCATTTACATGACCCAATGGGCCAGCCGCACATGGGCATGGCAGCCCAGAACATGCAGCCGCTGCAGCCGGCGCACCACATGGGCAACATGATGGATATGCGGCAGCCGGGACAGCGCCAGAACAGCTTCGCAATGCAGGGACAGCCTCAGCATTTCCACAACATGAATGCGATGACGGGTGAGATAAATTTCAACACGTTGCGGTAGCATCCAACGACATGAACATGGACACGCCGCACCAGCGTCATTGGATATCTTAAACTCATCACTACCCCCTTTGATCTTCGGCTTAGAACTGCCTCTTGTATTAATCGTGTTCTTACAACTTACTTTCTCTTGGATCTTTTTTGGTTTTCCTTTTTTTTGAGGACTCTTATTCCCTTTGTCTCAAAAGACTTGACTCCTGAGAAACGGATCAACATACGATGATGATTACTGAACAAAAATTTACTGGGTTTCATGTTTCTTTGCGCCTGGTTTTTAGCGCAGACACGTACAAGTTTGGGTGGGAAACAAATGGCGTTTTGTTATTTTAATCTTTCTTCTTTGTTTATCGTCTGGGTGGCATTATTGGACGAGGCTGGGAGTCTTGTCGTCTTTTTTTTTCTACGCTTTCGCTATTATTCATTTTGGGGGGGAAATCATTGGCACTTTTTGGGGGCCTTTTTTTTTTTTTTTATATATTTCGTCCTGCAGATATTTTTAACTAGGGAGGTCGTTGAAAAGCTCACTGCGGATTGCAGAGCTAGCTCTACTTTATACCATGGGTAGAGGAAATGAGACATAACGGATTTCAAAATCTTTTTGTTCTTTGTTGTTTTGACATGAGTGATTTGTTTTTGTGTGTCTATCACATCGATGTGCGTCTGATGTCAGTAAGTAGATGTGTGTGATAGGAGGCTTGCAGATCGCACCGTTGACTTTTTCATCGAAGTTTGGAATGCGCCCCCTTGATGTCGATCTGTAAATCATCTCCACACGATACGAGAAAGAAGAAAACTCTATTCTCCAAAAAAAAAAAAAAAAAAAAAAATCAAGATATTTTTTTTTGGTCAAACCTCCAAGCGTAAGAGTCGTGATGGGGAGAGGGGGTGGCGTTGAAAGGGGGCGTAAAGAATCCAGATTGTATGACTCTTTTGTAGGTACCTACTAATGTTGGGTGTTCAACCAACACAACTACCTTGATGTCCTAAAGGCAAAACTACCTCCCGTGATGAGGAATTTCCTTGTTTCTTGGATTTTTGTATAAACTCTGTTATGTGTTCCATCTTCCCCCCCCCCTTTTATCCAAAAAAAAAGCCCCCTTTTCAAAGTGCGAAAGATACCCAAAGATGCCCTAGCTTTCAAGCCATATAGATAGATAACGCTCCAGTACATGTAAGGAGAAGAAAACAAGCTTTCAGTGATACCAAAAAAAAAAAAAGTAAAAAGTTCATCGCACAAGCCGCTTAAACGGGTGCGCCTCTGTATTAAACACATATTCATCCAAGTTGATCGTATTCGGCTCGCTAAACACGAGGTAGAAGTACTTGAGCGTCTCGCCCAGCCAAAACGACTCCATCGAGTCCGCCCGGTCGGGCGGCTGGTCGGGCGGGAGAGTCACGTCCCAGACGGCGGAGTTTGCGAGCGCGGTGCTGGTCGTGGAGTTGATTGCGGAAAACATGGCCCACGCGGACTCGACGAGGTCCGGGCGGCCCGTGACGCGGTAGAGCACGAAGACGCTCTCGATGGCCTCGGGGCGGAGGATGTAGCGGCGGTCGGGGATGGAGGTGAAGCCCGGCGGGAGGCGGTCTCGCTTGATGATGTCGTCGGCGGTGGAGGAGCCCGGGTCGCTGGCGCGGCGGAGGACTTCCTTCTTCCAGGCGGACTCGTCCCACTGGCAGGCGTCGTCGGCGGCGGGAGAAGGGCAGGGCAGCATGTGGAAGGTCTCGGGCATGATGCCGTGGGGGAGGGCCTTGTATGTCCAGACGCAGCCGTCGACCAGCTTGGTGGCGGCGGATACGTCCTGGGGGCGGTTGAACATCTTGCCCCCGAGGGCCATCAGGCCGCCGAGGAAGCACACCAGGTGCTGGCCTTGGGGGTCGAGGCTGACGGTGCCTTTGTCCGCTCTCACCGAGCCCGAGATGAGAATGTCGTCGTTGTTTGGCGTCATGGGTCGGAACAGGTTGTGCTTGGTCGCGGCTGTGGCCGCCTTCTCGTACATGTCCTGGTACACGGGCAGCTGGCCCCCGACCAAGGCCGACATCTTGGGCAGATACTCGTAGACGCTGTCGGCCATGGCGCCCATGGTGAAGGCGTCGCCCTGGTCGTAAATCTCGGCCTGGGCGCTGACGACGAGCGGCCACAGCCCCGGCAGCGCCGTCGATTGCTGCTGGGCCGCCATGCCGTCCGTGATGCGCTGGACGGCGTCGAACCACTTGGGGTCGCGCGTGACGAGCGACAGGCGCGTGAACTCCATGGACAGGCTGCCGATCTCGGCCACCAGCACGCCGGGCGCGGCCTCCTGCCGCTTGCCGTCCATGGCGGCGTGGATGTCCCACCTGGTGATGGGCATGCGGTTGGGCGTGTCGAAGGCCTTGTAGAGCATCTCGCCGACCTCGACGGCCTTGTCCAGCAGGCGGGCGTCGGCGCTGAGGTCGTACGCGGCGAGGAAGCCGCCCAGGTAGCGAATGGTGGTCTCGAAGACGTTGACCTCACCGAGGGCGGTGTTGGTAAAGTCGATGGCGTGGGCGGCGGCGACGGCGTCGTCAAACTCGGGCTTCATGCCCATGATCCAGAGGGTGTCGAGGGAATCAACCAGCGTGGCGGCCCAGCCGCCAAAGGGATTCTTCCTGCCCCCCGACACGGGCGCCAGCTCGTCGGCGGTCCACGCGTGCTCCTTGTACGAGGCCCAGCATTTGGCAAAGACGTCCTTGACGGCGAGCTGGCGGGCTCGGCGAGTCTTGAGCGCGTCGGGCGACTCCTTTGCGAACGACGTCTGGATCCTGGGATACTTGACCGGGGATGCGGTTGGCAGCGGGCGGATGGACTTGGGAGGGTAGTGGACTGGGAGAGTCTTCCAGAAGTAGGAGTTGTATTTGGGAGTGCGCCAGTCCGGGGGAGGTGATGGGGAGATGGACGAGGAGCTCCAGAAGTAGATGAGGAGGAGGGTGGCGATGAGGGCGACCCAGGCGTAGCCTCTGACTCGGACGATGGGGAGCATCGTGATGCTACGACATTTGATGGTGATGGTTTGATTAGGAAGAGTTGATTGATTGATTGATTGATTGATTGATTAGTTAGTTGGTTGATGTTTGGACGGGATTCAAGGCGAGGGGCAGATGGTGGTTGATGAGACAGGACAGGAATTGGAGGTTCCCATGTCAAGAAAAGGCCCCCTGACAGGCAAATACATGCGTTGACGTCAATGTACATCAGCAGCCGGCCAGCCGTGCTCAAGGAAATCGACAGGATTGGAGGCGCGGTTACACATAGTCAGTACAGTCAGTACATGGAGTATCAAGTAAAGAGCTGCCTGCTGTACACTATGTACCAAGGATCATCGCTGCAGCCCTCTTTGGCCCTGGATTCAATTGATTTCCAAGCATTCAATATTTCAATTCCCAATTGCCGCAGGGACGTGCAGCGCGGTTAGAATTCGTTTGCCTGCCCTCGAATGCACTGACCGCGAGTTGTTCCCAGCATGTTCGGTGGCGGTGTTTGTGCATGTACGTGCATGGAGTCGATGTTACGGGTACTGTATGGAGTTTTGCAGACGGCCCGGGATTTAGGAGTTGGGCGTTGGGCTCACTTGGCTCTCACCTCCATGCTGCTAGTTCTAGTCCGTGATCCTTCAGGATCGGGCACTGGGGACGGAGACGGTGCTACGGATTTTCGGAATCACGAGCACGCAGTTAAGCGCGAGCTGCTGCATCCATCCATCATGTACCCTCGTCTACCCTCGTCTACCTGTAGTCGGGCTTTACTCGCTACCAGTGGAATCTGGCTCTTTGTCTCCCCCCCAATGCCCTATCACCTCTTGGCAGCTTCAATTGTCGCGGGTCTCACGGCTTCTTTCATCCCCCGTACCGGCTTTGTATTGTCTTGTACTGTATTGTATCTCCGTCGCAACAGAGGACCGAGTTCAGAGCAGTCTGCATGTACTGTACAGCATGTTGATTCCGCTGCGGGTGGCCAGCAACAACCCCCATCACGAGGGTTGCGGTGCTTTCAATAGAGCCCTATGGACCAAGACGCCTTGTTAGGCCAAGGGCCGCACCAAGGCTCGCCATCCCTGACAAGTTTTTCAACCATAGCTATAAACTCGCCAATCCCGTCAACTCAGCCCGCGGCCCTGGACGCCCTGGAAAACTTGCCATTGGCTGAGCCTGTCTTGTCTTGTAACAGAATCCCAACCCGCCTCTGGGCCAAGTCCACTTATAGTAAGACGAACCCATGCCGTCTAATTGCGTCCAGTGAGGCTCTTTTCAGGAGTGCCAGTACAGTACTCGTATGCCATGGACGGCAAATAGTCCATGTAGCATTGCCTTTGCTGGCGACCCGACGGAGCACGGAGTAGACGAGATGGGGATCCTCAGCTTATCGTGTGGTGCTGTTGCTGCTGTTTCCAGTCCATTCCGCTGCTAGACTCTGGTCGTATGACTGTTCCATATCATGCAGTAGCTTCATCACCCTGTTCTTCTGCTTCGCTTTTCTCCTTCTTTTCTCCTTCTGATCTTCTCCCTCTTCCTCTCTTTGGGCATAGTCGATTCGTTGTTGTTGCTGTTTGTTCCCACTCATCTTCCATTGTCTGGGCTGGGCTCAGCATGCTATTGGAGACACTCAAGAGGAGGATTGTCATTTCATAACTACTTTGTTCATCTTTACAGTGTGGGAACACTGTCGTCTTCAGATACCCCCCCCAAAGATGCGCTCTCTAGCTCTCCTCATCATCTTGGCTGCCCGGGCCAATGCCCTCTGCTACTACCCCGACGGCACTCCTGCTCCTGGCGATGTCCCGTGTACCGACAGCACAGACAATTCCGTCTGCTGCGGCACTGGCTATGCGTGCCTGTCCAACGGCATCTGCCAGGCTACCGGAGACGAGCTGCAGAAGCCGGGTGCCAGCGAATTTGTGCGCGGAAGCTGCACCGACAAGACCTTTAGGAGCTCTTCTTGCCCGTCGTTTTGCGGAACTCCCGATGTGGACAATGTCGGTGGTGGCGAGGGCATGCAGAAGTGCACAAACACAAGTCAGGATGTGTACTGGTGCGTCAACCAGCAGAATATCGACCTGTCGCAGAGCGAAGATGTCTGCAGCGACTCCAACGCTGTGGTCTTCTTTCCAGGTATGTGATGATGTGACGCTCTTTACTCGAGTGTTTTGCCTTGTAAATCTTGCCATAACTGACGGCTGTTGACAGGTACTCCGACGGCATTCACAACCATTGGTGTAGCTCAAAGGTCTACATCTAGCACGAGCTCACCAACATCGACCCCGACGACCATGTCGACGTCAACAACGCCTTCCTCATCTCCCACAAACACTGGCACAGGAACAGGAACAGGAACATCCGCTCCCACTTCTACTTCTACCTCACCCCCAGCCGAGACAACGCCAACATCGAGTGGCAGCAAATCGAACGGAGGCGTCATTGGTGGCGCCGTGGGCGGCTCTCTAGGCGGTGCAGTGGCCATTGGCATCTTGGCCTTCTTTTTCCTCCGCAGACAGAGAGGTCGCAGGGACACGGGGATTCACGAGATGGACTACACTCCTGTTGAGCCAAAGTCATCGGCGACTCCTCTGGTGCATCATCCCTCAACGCCGCACGGCCCCGACGATGTCATACCCGTCCATGAAGTCCCTGGTTCGACCGAGTTCGAATCAGTAAAGAGACATACCCCAGATGAGCCCATGGAGCTGCCAGCTTGATTGCCACGGCCAGGAGAAAAAGAAAAATCGGTACGGGTGGTTGGAGAGGAGTTGGGGGTTTACTATTACGATTTTCTACGACTTTGCAGTTTTGTGTGCAGTTCATGCTGGACACTTTGCTTGATACCATATCTTGGATAATTCATGTAGTTGCCCGTTTCGCCATCTCTTTTGTCGCTCTTGTTTGCGCTTTGTCGGACTGTCTCAACCCTTGCCGGTAAATAGAAAATTCTGCCATGATGATGAATCCTACAGCACTCGAAACGCCAGCAGCAACTCCACGTGGAAGAGCTACCCAGAAACGGCGCGTAGTATCGACCCTGGCTGATTACTTGGCTGGAGCGCCCCCTGCATGCTGTACGCAGAAATTACTGATATTTGAGGTGTTGGCTGAAGACGGTACTGGAGACTATGAGTAACCTGCTTTGCTGTTGAAGTGACTGTAGTCTCGGCAGATAATGGCACAGTGTTTGAAAGTTGAACAACAGTCAGAGATTCGGCGCAGCTCGGGTTTTTGAATATTTTATTCAAAGTCAAGAGTTTAATCCTTCTTTTACCTCTTCTCAACGGCGTCCTATCTCCGAATCGCGCTGCTCCACCGCTGAACTATTTTGGTGGCCAAGGCGAGACCATGTGGGCTATACTGCAGACGAGTTACTGCATTTGTGTCCATGATTAGTAGCAGTCTATGTAGTAATACGGAGCCTGGGCAAAAGTGTGCCCGGTTTGCATGACAAGAAAAACTCAGTGTTGCCATGTAATTGCGGGCTTTGAGCAGGGTGACTGAAATAATCACCCAGCTACTGTAATGTCGGTTTGATGCACCTTTTTGCCTGTCTATTCTAAACTGCTAGTTGCGTCTCACAAGCTATCAGCCTAACAAGGCTGATGGCGCAATTACGAGTCCAGTCCCTTCTATGATTGTGGTGTCTTTCTGATCGTCTGATACTTTTCCTGTTGCAGGATACCAAGAGAGGTCAGCACTTCTCATTATTGGCCTAGTTCCGCTGCCCAGCTGTTTCAGATGTCATCGTGTATACCTTCATATTTTCAATTGCGAAAGCGCACCTGCTTCCTATCCCGGAATCTCTATCTTTCGCGGTTAGACATAAGCGTGGTGTAAAATCGATATGTTTTTTGTGGAGTTGTAGAAATTGCATGCGAAGTGGAGATGTGTAAACATGTCTGGACAAACATTGAAGGAGGTCTAATTCTTAGAGAGAAATCATCTGCCTGTCTAGTGCTAACATGATTATATATTGTCGATTTGGAATTTATCAACTTTGGCTCTATTGTTACAACGCAGCGCCCGCTCATCTTACAAAGTGTTTGAGCGTTCTACCCGTCGCCTCGGGGCGGTTGTTCGGCATGCTATCGCAGCACCTCTTATCATTTTAGAGTTTTGACGTCTACTATGAATGAAACCGTTTCGTAAATACCAGCAAACCGGACTTTCGGGGTCGAGTTTCATCTCTAGAGCTGCTTCATCGGTAGTGAAGTTGCCGACTGTTTAGCTCTGCTATTGGATCGATGGCGTTGTGGAGCGAAGGAGAGCTTAGCTGCGCCTCTTGTTTCACTATTTTACTCTTTTTGGCAGACTTGTTGCGATGGCAGCGGGCAAAAGTGGGAATCGCATCTGGCTATTGACTCGCGACTGAGAGGCTAGTCTTTAGTATTGTTGCCGTAGTTGTAAGAGTTTAGTTAGTTGTCAACGTAATTTGATTAGAGCGCAGCGTGGTTACGTGTAAGAGTCAGGAGAGCATATATGGAATCTGACTTGATTGTATAAGACTTCAATTTTCCTGCTGATTGCTTATTACTCAACATGACTATATGCGTAGAGATTTGTGTCGGTTAGCGTGAGATTGCCAACTGAGTCGTGGCTGCGAGTTGGAAAGCGGCTGAGGTGATCTATAAGACGTTAGATGGCTGTCCCGATTTGGTTGACCGTGGCAACTATAAAGGCCAAATGTCTATATTCACTTTGATCTGTTAGATACCTCTATGAACCTACGGAATCTGTTTCGTGCTTGCTTCCCCAATGAAGATTTACGGGTAGTTTTGGACTTGCATGTATGTGGCTTGCCGTTGCAGCGCCCCGGCAACTTATATCGTGCAGTAGACGAAATATGTCGACCGTTAGGGTATTCTTTCAAAATTCCCTATGCAAAGACAGCCGGGATAATCGAGATAGATACATAAATGATCGCCAATAATATATTATACTTAGGTATGCTTCACTGCAATATTTCCAACAGGGTGTTATTGTCAAGTCACTGTCAGTCAGCTGTTGTTTTCTTGCTTTGCATCACTAGGATTCACAGACTGTCATTAGTCACAAAATTCAATATATTGTTATAATACAGCCAGTCATTTTATACTCCTTTGAATATCTGTATACTAATTGTCCTCGAAGATTGGCTCTATGGGATGCGACAGTCACTAGTTTGGTGAATACCTCTCCAGTGTCAACACTTCGGCTCAACGCCGAGCTTCTGTACTACATCTATGAACTCTAAGTCGCCTGAATAGTACATTTGGCCTTATCGTTAACCATCGCACATGCATACATGAACGTAGGCCCACAAGCCTGCTATCCGCCGACATGAAGACTCAACGCTGGCTGGTGGCCGGGAAGATGCCAATATTCTTCATCAAGACTAGTACTGAGCTCAATTATGCCTCAACCAACGCTGAAGATGTACTTCATCGCTCCCATAGGACGTCGATTTACATAATCCATCTCTTAATTGCCATTCTTTATACGCCAATGCCGGCCCAATGGACCAATAATCAGGAAGCTTTCACCCCAACTGTGTCACGAACTGCATCGCCTCACCCCTCCAACCCCGCTGTTACGGCAGGCCTTGGTCTATCGCTGCAGAGATATTCAGGACAGGGGTCTGCTGGATGAAATGATTGGCAGACAGCTGTGGTTTCGCGTCCTGTAGAGCGAGTGCTCCACGTCTTGATTGGGAAACAACCCGCTTGAATAAGGCCAGCTGAAGAACGGTTCAAGGGAATCAGACTGCAAATTGTGGAGGGGATTCAGCTCTCAGCTTGCATAAATGTTAATTGCAAGCATATCATCCAGCGAATAGAGACTGAAGTCCACATTGACTCGTCCCACTTGGTATGATATATTTTGTTTAAGCGTGCTCATAGAAAAGCGCCCGGTATTATACAACACACGAGGCTGACCGGCGCGTCTTGTACAAAAAGTAAAAATTGAACTATAAAATTGACAACCAGGCCCTGTCACAGGCATCACAATTGCTATGCTCTATTTTCTCCTCATACTACTCTCTTCTATTACAATTGCTACATCACAGATCACGCTTCGAGTCAACTTTCTCGTTCCTTTTATTTCTACCAAATCATGGACAGTAAATCAAGCAATCTCACCAACCTTGGCTGCGACTTTGTCGTGGCTACAACGCAGGCTACCATAAATTCTGGCCTGCTAAACTTTATAGATCAAGCACAACAGGAAGTCAAGTATCTATGCTACCTGGTGAATCCGACGACTGGTGAACTGGAGGACCCAATCACTCTCGAGGAATTGAAGAAGAAGACTGGCGGCATCAACCCGTTTGATATCTCCAAAGGCACCCCTTATGATGACCCAAGAATAACCGCCTGCACTAAAGCCCTTGCCAAGTTGGCATCAAGATGCAGATCGGGATACCGCGGGAAGCTGATCCAAGAGACTTGTCCATTATCAACTTGGGTCAAAACGCCTACGGTGTCGATTTCAACATGTACTATTCAGATATTACTGTCATCGAAAACGATCCTGTGAAGTGGGGATATTCGGACAGCTGGAATATCTGGGAGCAGCCCAGAGATCAACCGTGGGCGGCTTCGTGCCTCGTCGATCTCCTCCAGAGCAACCTCAGCCGAAACCTCGACGACCCTTATCTCAACAGTCACCCAGACATCAAGTTCCAACTCATGCGGGCTCTGGACAGTCTGCCTGATACAAATTACCATCTTCAACAGCTCCGTCTTGCATGGAATGACGCCGTGCCGCCGAATGATTTCGATTTTCCCGGCATGGACATGAAAACAAAAGCTGGTGACTGTCTGCGGTCTTGCCTCTTCGAAGAGTATCTAAACTTTGCCCTTGAGAACGCCATGTCGCCCTTTGTCGTCACGGCTTTCGCAGAGACCTTTGATGATGGATCTCAGTCCCTGACAGCAATGCAGAGATTGGTGAATCCGCCAAGAGACAGCTCCGGCAACCCTATATCAAATCCTTCGTCCTCCCAGAAAGCAATCACTACGCTGGACTTTATATGCGCCATCAATAACAATAAATTGCCCAACATTTCAGGTTTCAATTGGAATTGGGTGCTGCCCGAGGACGTCGACAGTAAGAGCGGTGTCATGGCAATTCGCCGCGGTATATTGGCTCAACACTTCTTGGATGACTTCAAAGTCTCAAGTATCAAAAATATGTACAAAGCAGTTGCACGGAAAGAAGATAATAACCGCCTACAGTTACTCAATGGAGAGTGGCTTAGCGATGCGACAGCTGATCTTATAAATGACGATGCGAGCCGTGTGCTCCATATCCAACTCGGAGTCCCTCCGAGTGAACCTCTACGGTCCTGGGATGGAAACAATGGGATGGAAATTTACATCGGCAAAGGCATTAAATATGCAAAAGTAGACATTCATCCCGGCTATTCATGTGACATCTATTTCGAAGGGCAAGAATTCAGGGTTGAGCAGCGCATGTGGATCACAGCCGCGGTCGCTGCCGAGTTCCCACACGAGAAGGGGGATTTATCAGAGCATAAACCGGTCGACAAGTATTTGACGGAGAAATACTCATTGTCTATCGACCATCAGGGCCAGATTAAGCTGCGAAAAACGGGTTCTACGTCTGCCGACAAATCTGACCGCTGGCACAACGATGGCGACGTTGACAGCGATAACACCCAGGCAGCCAAGGATGGATTCTTCAACCACCTTTACCAGATGATGGGGGAGATTGTTCCTACAGCTATGGACATGGAGGACGTTTTCCCGCCAAACAACTTCATATTTCCCGGTGCCCAACCCTTTGTGTATAAAGATGTCTTCTTCTCCGAGAATCTGGACTTGATAGCTAGTATTCCTTGTGTCAACTATTACAGGGTCAGTCCCAACCTGAATTCCTAAATGCCCCCAGTTTGTTTCTGATCAGGCAGTTAATTAACAAGCTAATGACGTCTACAGAATTAATGCATAACTATGCCTATGAAGAGATCATCTCGCCAAAGGGGAAATTTGAGGCGGTCAACGATGAAGAGCCTGTTTCGAAGATGATTACATTCTCATGATGGGTACGGCAAATGGCGTAGTGCGTGGGTTGCAAATGAGGGTATTGGTACTGATTCGAGATATTTCTCTAGGAAAGGGTTTTGATGGGGACAAAAACGGTAAACATCACTTGAGAGTTGTGTAAGAGTTGTTTAAGAACCTCATGTTAATACACGAATTATTTCCTCTCGTGAGAAGAAAAATGCCTTGGATGTCGATATATGTAGATAGACGTGTTTATAATATACTTCTCATTTACAAAAGTGTATGGTAGATAAACTCATATCCTTGCTAACTTGGTAGTTTGTTGACCTCTTCCTTTGACTATCTCGATTGCATCGTCTTCACAAAAGTATACCAGAATATCTAGTCCGCTTACCATCAGATTGGTAGCTTGTGCTTTGCCCTCCCTGATCGTAGTTGACATTGCTGCTGGTACTAGTGGAAAGGGGGGCAATTGGTCATATCGTATCATCGGGCTCCCATTTTCATTGGCTTCAATGGCCCAATTCGTTTCACCACATGTCCAGTTACCCAACCAACGCTTCCACTGGGTGCCAATTTCCTCCTTGTGGGCTCTGAATGGCAGGACTCTTGTATATCCTAGCGGCAAAGGGATCTCTGGCCATTTCTTGAGATACGCAATAGCCTGAAGTAGTTTCCATACCACAATGTCTCCCTCCACGGCATTTGTCATGATGGAAATGGCACAGTTTTCTGGTATCTTTATATTGGCTGCCCCAGGGAGATCGGCATATCCAGCAACATAGGTTCTGAAGCCTGGCCAGTTGCTACCGCCGTGGCTAAAGACAGTCTTCAAGTCTCCAGGAATAAACCATGAGAGAGCGACGTCTGATTTCACTACGGTCAGCATACTCTTGGCTGTTGCTTGTCGAAGAAAGCCAGTGCTGTCAGAGCGTTGGAGAGACTGTTGTACAGCTCTGATAAGCTTCAAAAGGTCACTTGGTGTAGTCCATAAACCTGCAGCAGCTTGTTCGGGGTTGACTCGCTGAGTATCTTCACAGGGAGTGTAGCCATTCCAATGGCATTTGGCTGCATTCTCTTCGTGAGCCGGTAGCTGGTTATAGGAGGACCTCGTCATTCCCAAAGGTCCTAGAACAATATCATGCATCGCCGTGGCGAAATCTTTATTGGTGATGGTCTCAAAGACAAGTTGAAGTACTGCAAAGCCGCCGCCTGAGTAAGAGTACGACTGGCCAGGGAACCCTTGCAAGTGCACGTCCAGAGTATTGACAGGATTCGCTCCCGTTAAAACTTCGCGCAGTGTTGGAATTCGAGAGGCATCCAAGACGGAATAACCGGGGAAACCACCTTGGGAGAGGCCAGAAGTATGGCTTAGAAGTTGTGAAATGGTAATATTCTTGACCATAGAGCTCTCGGCAGCCGAGGTGTCTCTTGTCAAGATATCTAATACATCTTGTGGTAGTACATCGCCAATGCGGGTGTCGAGTGCAATCTTGCCCTCGTCAACGAGCTTCAGCAACGCAACTGCAAATGTTGGTTTCGATATACTGCAGGCTTGGAAAACGGTCTCTGTATTTTCTCCTCCTGTTGAGAAGCAATGAGACGAAATGACGCCGTCTTCCATAATGGCGACGGAAGCACAAGGCGTTCCAAGTTTGGCCAAAATAGAGGCCGAGCTAATACTGCCGTCATTTTCGGAGCGAATCAGTTCATCGAGTTGACTAAAGATTGTCGTTGTGGTTTGCTTGACGAGCATGGCGAAGTATTTCTAACTTATAGACGAGTTTCTAATTATTCAACGTATAGGCTGCTTTGAAACAGCGAATGATGAGTATGCGGTATGTCGAAATCTTAATTTCTGGTTGAATCCAGAATCATATGATTGCTTAATTTTTGAAGGATATACATGGTCCTAGTGATTGAATCCTGCAAGGAATTAATACTAGTTCCTAGTCTTATACTTGAAGTCTACGAAACTCAAACTCCTCGAGCCGGAGCCGAAGCCGAGGCCGCGGAGTTCGTATGCCACTTCGTAGGCTATTTCGTCAGCTCGATCCATCGTTGTAAGTCACTAAAAGTTAGTTGCAGCTAATTCTAGCATTGCTTGCGTGGAGGATTCCCAAGACCCATTTATCGTATTTAACCGCTGGCGGTGCTGACGTTTCGCTACTAATCGTACCCGTTTTATAGACCAAGGTGTTGCGTGGCGTTTGTAGCATAAATCTCTTGCCAGCAACCAATCATATTGAAAGAGAGAATCGCAAATGGCTAATGGAGTCATTATAAACAATTACCCGGGTATGGTAGCAGGAATTGACCACGTCAACGGAAATATGCTTCATCTGCTGGTCGTACATGGCTCTGTAGAGTCATGCTGGCGCACCCTTACGACTATAGACGTTGAATTGTTATCGGGGAAAAAAGGCGACAAATAAATACAATTGCTTAGGATTCGTGTCAATCAATTTATTAACTCGACAGGATTCTTCTATCTCAAATGATATAAAAGATACATTTCCTGCACCAGAAGCCACCTCTAAACCTTCAGTGACAAACGAGTTTTTGGTACATAACTTTCCTTGAGCTGCCGGATTATCCAGCTTCATGTGCGGCTTGGCGGGTTGTACGTATTCTCAGTCTGAGTGAGCTCTCTCATTTCGGCTCTGCTGATTTGCAGACTCGTCATCATTGGTGCTGGAGGTGGTAGAGATACCGGGGCTGGCAGAGTCATCGGACATGTTAGAGTTGGTAGACTCTACTTGATGTAAGTGTACGGAGCTCGTAGAAGTGTTGGATGAAATGGAAGAGCTGGGGTTAGGATTGGAGGGACCAGCAGTATTGTTGGAATGGAAAGGAGTTCCAGAGCTCATGGAAATGCCAGAGTCGGTAGAGCTGAGTGATGTAGTAGAATTACGTCGACTATGATCCGCGGTTCCGGTGCTGTCCGAGGATGTCGCAACCTCTGGAGATTCAGCAGCTCCGAGAGGGGTGACGGAGTGATAAGAGGTGTCAGACTGAAAAGAAATTGCAGAATGAAAAGATGTATCAGAGCTGACAGAGTCACCTCGAGGGCGAGTAGTAGGTTGAGGTTTTAATATATCCATGATTAGAAGGTAACAAAAAATGGGACGTTTTTGCTCTTGAACTGGGATGAAGAGTACTCAAGCGACCAATATGCAATTTAATGATGGCTCGTATCTGCGGTCGTCGAGTTTTAAGTTGATGAGATGAGATTACTAGGACTAGACGAACACAAAGGACGTCACTACAACAATGGCTGAATATGGCGCGCATGAAAGAAAACATTTTCTCTTTGATGACCATACGGTCATAGTTCATTAGGAGTCTGAAAAGGGCACATATTCTACTGGACAGAGATTATTCACTAGTGTTGCGCTCATCTTGATGAAAAGGAATTGCAGTTTTAGAGGTAACAAACGTATAGAAGTCTTGAAGGACTGAAGTAATGTACCAGACATGATGTATTACGGAAAGATATATAGAGCAGAGTAAACATGTTTATTAATATATATTTGTATGTTCATAGCTTCTGCAGAATCGGTATTATTAACTGTTTAAGTGTGACAAAGACAATGATCATGCTAGTGGCATACCGTCAGCTCTAGAGACACTTTCGGCTCACCTGATACAAGTCTTTCATATTCACAAAGGGATTGTAAAAGCCACCATTGATATGCTTCACTCATTAGACATTTTCCGGATTTCACACAACCGCCTCGCACTCTTATCGCTAGACTGAATCGGAAATAAAATCACTTCCGGATACAACAGAGTCTAGATTTGTGATTCTAGCACTTATACTGCCTACAAGTACCTTTTACCAATCACAGATATAGATACAGGGTGTGACCGGCCCGTGCCAGCATCTCGCATCTCCTGGCCCCCGATTTTAGTGATCTCAGATAGTCCTATTTTAACCGTACCTATTACTCTGACAACGATAGCTGATACTAAAGCGACGAATGATGGGTTGTATAATTCAGAAGAGACGGCTGGATTCAAGCAGCACATTTTGAGAGAGGAAGATGATGGCAAAGTGACGGAGATTATCATTAACGGGGATGGCACCATTACATTTAAATTAGAGTCGGGCGATTCCGAGACCGTGTACACTTCAATGAGAGCACCAGGGCGATAAATGCTGGAGCAAATAGAGTAACGCAGAGTCTCTATACCATGTTTACTTCTGTCACAGTCATCGCCATAAGAAGTCGCCAAATTTGCGCACAACGATGATAATCATATAATCTGTTAATCCTATACCACTATCTCGACCATTCATGGCGTGGTCAAATCCCACAAACTCTCCACCGTCACCTGCTCAGCCCACTTCCCACTCGTCGTGTCTTTCTGAAGCGTGAATCCAACCTCCTTCTTCTCACCAGGCCTCAAAACAAATGCATTGTCGTCAAAGAAGCCCAAAACACCAGCTGGGTGCGTCAGCCAAGTATAGAGAGATACACCAGCCGTAGCTTCCACGGTGAACTTCTTTGTAGACTTGTTATACGACAAGTGTAGCTTGGGATCTGACACCTTGGCTTGATTAGGCCACACAGGAAGGAAATGGTTGTGGTGAGTAAAGGTTGTCGTCTTGCTGCCGGCTGCATTGGGGAGTTTGCCGTGGGCTGTAAGTTCGATGACCAACACAGCGTCGCTGGTGTCTGGGATCTTGAGATCCGACTTGATGTTGGCTGAGATGATCTGCGTAGTGTTGATGGCGCCTACGTTAAACTTGATCAATTTCTCCATGCCCGCGTTGTTTGCAATAGGCTTGCCTTTCAGATCGACCCAAGTCAATGACACTTGACCAGACACAGGTTCCCAAAGATCAGATGTCACCCAGATTTCCAACTCGTTGGCCGTATAGTTCCAGAAAGCAGATGCAATAACGTGCTCATAGGTCCTACGAGAAACATAAGGCAACACCTTCCAACGTCCGTCGTACTCAAGACCGGCCCAGGTCGGAGCTTGCCAAATATCGTTGAGTTGCCAATATAGAGAGCCGAGTTGTCTC